CTAATCTGTGGGTCCCACCATATTTTAACTGTCTCATCTCCTGTGTGGTCTCATTTTTATCCCTAGCTAGTGTAAAATAAGGGTCTGACATTATAATTGTTCTTTTGCACACATGAACAATCACATTGCCCCTTACATTTTTTTTCTTAGCTCATTTGGCAATCCAAAGCCAGGAGCCAGGAGCTCCTTCGGGGTCTCCCACGTGGGTGCAGGGTCCTAAGGCTTTGGGCCACCCTCGACTGCATTCCCAGGGCACAAGCAGAGAGCTGGATGCGAAGCAGGGAGGCCAGGATTAGAACCGGCACCCATATGGGATCTCAGTGTGTGCAAGGCGAAGACTTTAACCACTACGCTATTGCACCTGGCCCTGATCTTGCTTTTAACTTTCACAGGTTCTCATATCCACTCCCTCACCTACATAGTTTGCTCCCACCAGTTCTCTGATCATGTTCCTTTCATTGACGTATTCAGTGACCATTTCGCAAAGACTGCCAAACAGCCTCTGCCTGTGTGCTAGATTTTTTCAACCTCCTCTTTATTGAGATTGCGAAAGTTGCCTGCCATTTTTAATTATAGCATTTTTGTTTTCTAGCTTTTTCTGGTAATCTAAGGCTCAGTTATACTTGAGCATTTTAAATGCAAATCATGATTATTTCTCTTTATATTCTAGTTACCATTTTTTTGAAAATCATAAGGCAGTAAAATACAAATACAATTTTGATCTTTGTCCCCATTTCCGGGTTGGCAAAATGTTTCAAGGTAGGACTCTTAAATATTTTCAGGTTTGGAATCTGGTCACTAGAAAGACACATAAAAGATCAGATAGTACAAACTTGCAGCACTATTTCTCTCTCACTTGCAGGCAGTACATGGAGGTTATACATGAAGTAACAAAAATACTGAAGAAGAAGATTTTGGAGATCCATGGATCGGTGAACACAGCAGTGTGCTAGAAAGGTGGTGTGCCAGGAAGGAACATGGAAGCTCCATCCTCCCCATCCCCAGCACTTCATGCATCTCTTCCATTTGACTATTCTCAAGTTCCTTTACAATGCACTGGCAAAGAGCGTTTCCAGAGTTTGTAATACATTCTGGGGCATTCTGAACCTAAGGGTCACCAGAAGCTTTCAATTTGTGGTCAATGTAGCTGAATTGTACGAGGCCTGGGCACTCCATGTTTGGCTGACATTTGAAGCCTGGGCAATCTTGAGGAATTAAGCCTTGAAACTACAGAGTCTGATGCTAACTCAGGATAGCCAATGTCAAATGAAGCTGAATTTGGGGGCTTCTAATTGCAGTCAAAGGACTCAAGAAATTCAGATATAATTCCTAACCATAACCTGATAGTAATCAATGAAGGTCACTGGTGTTTTTTTTTTTTTACTTGTAGTAATTCAAGAACTAGAAATATTTGTGGTTTAATATGTGACAGCTTTTTTTTTTATTGTTTTATTTTGTTCTTAAATATTGCAACTGCCAATACTGGGCCAGACCAAAGCCAGGAGTAAGTTTCATCCGGGTCTTCTACAAGGATGGAGGGGACCTAAACTCTTGGATCATCCCCCACGATTTTCCCAGGCCAGTTAGCAGGGAGCTCAATAAAAAGTGGAGCAGCCAGGACATAAGCCATGTCCTGCATGGATGCCAGTGTCACAGGCAACAGCTCTGCCTGCTGGGCCTGAACTCCAGCCCTATGGTAGTTATTCCTAATAATATTCGAATTGCACAGATGTTTGGCTGTTCAAATTGGCACCTGAATCCTTTTGATTTGATGCTAATCAACTTTGATAACTTGAAGGAAACACTTTCAATATACATTAGTCACATTTTAACTGTGAATTCAATTTAAACGATCATGTTATCTTGTCTGCTCCTGTACAAGAAGGTTGCTATGTTGTCTGGAAGACTAGAACTACATTAATCTTTGGCATTTTATCGTTCTTTACATTTTCATAATGTTATCTTGGCCATGTCTATGGTAATTTGACCCAGTAAACAAAGCCGGTCACCATCTGTACTTATATACACATCTAATGAGAATCCAGGAAAAAAAAAGTACTTGTGAAGAAAAATACATAATGGAGACATGGGCACATTCAGTCAAAACCAGAAACAGAATGCTGGGACATTATTTTTTGTGGTTTAATACATATCACTACTAATAACATTTAATAGTACTAGTAGACATTGTTATTATAATGTATTACAGCTGAATGTCTTCATTTAACTGGATTAAATTTGAACGCCCTACTGGTCCTGACTAAATTTAATTGTACAAGCTAAGAGTGTTTAGGGGAAGATTTATGTTTCCTTTAAGAAGCATTTCAGGGACAGATCAACCTTGACCATACATAGAGTACCTGAACCGGAATTTTAAGTGCATAAAAGGTTGAGTATATAGATTCTGCACATATTTATCATTCATGTTCAAAGATTTTAAAGCATAACTAAATATGTGATTAATAAATAACAATATTTCTGTTACTTTGTAAATATAGTACCCTCCTTATCCATAGTTTTAGTTACTCAGAGCCAATCATAGCCTGGAAATATGAAATGGAAAGTTCCATAAATAACAAACTTATTAGTTCTAAGTACCATTTTTTATAGTATTGATAAAATATAAAATATAGTATAGTAAAATATAAAATTATAGTATATTTTAAAATTTTATATTATTGTTGTTTATTTATTACTGAATCCAATGTGTCAATTAAAGTGTATTGTAAGAACTTATACAAGAAAAAACAACCTACGTAGATCTCAGTACTATCCAAGGTTTATGACAACCACTTGGGGTCCCAAAACATATTTCCTACAGATATGTAGTGACTACTATTCTAAAAAACAACTTCATTAGGTAGGTAGGTAATATGATAAGTTAAGGGCTCATATGGCATTTGTAATAAGAGAAAACACTATCCTCTCTTGTAAATTGGAAAAAGAGTTTACTTTCTTGTAATTTTTTAAGAAAAATCTTATTTCTAACATTAGTCTCCTGATGTCAACACTTTCAGTTAGTGAGCCTAACAGATCTCCTCTGTTTCATATCATTAGCTTTACTAAAGCTGAGCCAAAAAAAAATAAGAGAGAGCGAGAGAGAGAAAATATTGTATATCCCATGAATTTTCATGTGGCACCTAATTTTTTTCGTAAAACAGAGATAAGTGTCACTCTTTACGGTGTGTAAACAACACAAGACAAGCTGGAATTTTGGAATAGCATTAGTCTGTTACAATTACAAAATGAAAAAGTCTTTTTATAGCAGAATTCCTCACCATTAGGAGAGACAATCTAGTGTAAAAAAAAAAAAAAAGACTAACATATCTAATTTGAATCTAATGATACTGCTTAATGCAACTTTTACTATAGCTAAGTCCTTCTTTGAGTGATTTCTACACAAGGCCTTAGATAATAAAATCTACTCCCATAGTACTGTTGATTGAGACGAGACTAAATGATATGGCATATGTGAAGTTGGCAAATATCTGATACTTAATAAGTACAGTTAGCTCTATTTCGCTTATGAAGCTAATTCTTCAAGACTACTATTAGATTGGTCCTCTTATTGGTTCCATTTGTTGTTTATTGAGTGCCAAGCACAAGCTGACACTGGGCTGGGAACAAACATGAAGCTGGATTAAGATCACGGTCCTTCACTCAATTTACTAAGCATCCAGTCTATTGGGGAGGACAAACACATTAATAAGGCTCATTTTGGCTACAAATGGAGCTGCAAGCATCACTTTAACCTTTCTGTCCTTTATAATACTAATTTGATTCTAAACGTGTAACAACAAAATTAATCATCTAAACTGTTTGAGCAATGTACTTAATTCATACATATTTTTAATTTGCTAATAAATAAAATATATTTCTGTACTATCTTAAGATATTTTAATATAGACTACAAGATCATGTTTATTTGTATTAATACATCTTTAGTAACAATTGCATTTCTATTCGTAATAGTCTCCTCATAAATAGTTCCTCTGAAAAACAGAAATAGTATTACTGCCAATGATGTTTAAGCATTTTATGAATTTTTAATGTGCTCCATCCATATCAGTTAACTTGTATAAAGTACTTTTGTCTCTAATAATTTTTGCAAATCAAAACAACTCAAATATGCTTGTTAAAGGTTAAATAATGGATTACATTTCCTATTTCAGTTAAATTTGCTGGACACCCAAACTTGCAATTGTCTTAATTTACTTTTTCATAATTTCAAGTAACCACCTTGAACATTTTGACATGGACAAATGATTTCCTAATTAACTGACAAGGTAATTCTCTGAAAATACATAATTTCTTAGGATTAATAATTCTAGTCATGTCATTCCTGTCAAACAATAGAGAAAAGCAAAACAGAAAGAATTGTCTTTATATCTTAATATCCTTTAATTTCAAGCAAATCTTTATTTCCATGAACAAAAATAAATTCTGATTAAATATCAAAAATTACTAACAGTAATAAATCTGCATTTTAATTTTTCTCTAGTAAACATGCTAAAAGGATTATAAAATGTAAAACCTGAGTGTTCTGTTAAACCTGACAAGAAATATGTAGGGAAATTGGTTTCACGTACTCAATCACTATCAGCTTTATTTGATACATTTGGGACAGGTGTAATTTTAAACACCTTTCATACATCTGCTACCCTCAGAAATATGTGCACTTAAAAAGCAGTCTGTCTGGTGCACAGTTATTAAACCGTTAGTTAACTGTAATTTACAGGCTGATGTTCAAGGGCCAACACATTCCAAATAACTTGGCATACCAAGGCACGCTGAATTTGATTTTATCACTAAATGTAAAAATCCAAGTGTTGTAGGCTTTCAGAGGAACCTAGTCTTCTGTCAAGCTAAGCCAATACTGTTGACAAATCGTGAAACGGAGATAATGCATATCTTTGATGTCCTCACATTAGCCTTAGAAGTTAAGAATCTGCCTTTAAAATGTAAGTAAAAGCATGTAGCAATCATTAATATTCACTCACCTTTGGACCTGGTAATCCAGGTAACCCAGGATTTCCATGTGGTCCTGGTATGCCCTACAAATAGTAAAAAGTCAAATTATTCTTAGAACAGAAACAAATACAAGTAAGTGTTGATTTTAATATTCAAATAAATATTATATAATCTCATTAAAACAAATGCTGTTTTCAAAGTTACTTATTTTTTCTAAGATCTTGGACATTTTAGCTGTGGAAAGAACAGCTACACTGACAATAGAACAAAACCAGTTTCCATCTTTTGCTTCCAAACATTGCCTCAAGGTTTTCACGTTCCTTATTCATCACTCCTGTTTGTAGCTGCAGTGTATCTCTAATGCAACATACAAAATCTGCATACACTAAAATTCTCAAAGTAACACATGCAGTCAATCTCCTCTCAACATGCATTATCTCTCTGTGTACTTAAAATTTCATTTACTTTGCTTCCTACACTAAACTAAATCATTCTCAAATCTTAACTGACATCAACATTTAATTTTGTTTTTTAAAAGATTTATTATTTTTTATTGGAAAGTCACATAAACAGAGAGGAGGAGAGACACAGGAAGATCTTGAGTGCAATGACTCACTCCCCAAGTGGCTCCAAAGGCCGAAGCTGAGCCAATCCAAAGCAAGGAGCCAGGAGCCTCTATGGGTCTCCTACGCAGGTGCAGGATCCCAAGGCTTTGGCCATCCTAGACTGCTCTTCCAGACCACAACAGGAAGCTGGATGAGAACTGGCACCCATATGGGATCTCGGGTGTCTGCAAGGCAAGAACTTTAGCCACTAGGTTATCACGTTGGGTCCCCAATTTATTTTGAAATCTTGCCATACCAGAACAAACTGATTTCTCCTTCTATAGAAATTGCTCCACGTGAAATTTATTTGTCAATTATTATGCATTGTACTGGAATATTTTTATACTACTCTAACCTGTTGCTTAAAGATTTCATTGCTACATTGTTACTTTAGCTGTATTATGGTATATGCTATTTAAAATAAGATGATAAATTATTTGAAAAAGAAGCTTTTGGTGTTGCTAATGTGGTGCTTAGCATATATTAGTCGCTCAGTATTTGTTGACTTGATTTCACATAACTGATAAAGTATATGATCTGAATTTTAAAGATGTGCTTTGAAAGAACCTACTACATAACATAAAGTAATGTTTTTTTATATTTCACATTAATACTTGTAACAATTCTGCAGGATGGTTATTTTCAGTCCTGCATATAAACAAGAATCCTAAGTTCACACAATCAGTAAGGACAGAAACTGAATCTTCTAAGTATCAGGCCACTAAACAAGGATACTCAAAGTTAACAGAAAATGAAATTGAGAGATAACTTTATTTTGTTGCCAAAAAAAAAAAAATTCTGAAACCCATGGGAACTAATGGGAACTTTATGTTTTAAAATAAAACCTAAGCATGAATTTTATTTTTGCAACAAAATAAGATTTTTAACCTCATGTTTCCATATAATTTTTGACGAAAATACCCCTGGACATCTCTGTGTTTTGTCCCACATCTCTGAGTTCTTTTTTAAAAAAAATTATTTTATTTTTATTGCAAAGTCAGTTATAGAGAGGAGGAGAGACAGAGGAAAATCTTCCGTCAGATGGTTCACTCCTAAAGTGAAAGTGACTGTAGTGGCTGGTGCTGCGCCGATCCGAAGCCAGGAGGCAGGAACTTCCTCCAGGTCTCCCACACAGGTGCAGGGTCCTAAGGCATTGGGCCATCCTCAACTGCTTTCCCAGGCCACAAGCAGAGAGATGGATGGGAAGCAGGGCTGCAGAGATTAGAACCAGTGCCATTATGGGATCCTGGCATGCCCAAGGTGAGGACTTTAGCTACTAGGCCACTGCACCAGGTCCCATCTCTGTGTTCTTTACTTAAACATCCATTTTAACACATAACACATAGTTAATAATCATTTATTTCTCCAATCAAGGGTTAAACGAGCAGAGTAAATCAAAAACACATAAAAACAACAATGAACATATTAAAGATTTGTACAGCAATGAAGACAAAGGAAAAAAATTTCATGGCTTGTCTTTGGTAACATGCAAAAAAATAAATGTTAATAAAGTGGATATATAAAATCATGGAAATTAGTGAATGATTTGATGATATAAAATTAAGGGCATTGCATGTAAAATATTATTTCATAAAGCTTGGCAGTGTAACAGTAAGCCAGGACACCATCCCTAGGGGAGAACTAATATCAATGAACATTTACAGTTTTTCAGAAGGCTAACCTCATGTTGCCAAGAGGAATGAAATATATAAAGAAAAATAATACTAAGTTGCAACTTCCAAATTAGATATTTGGTTGAGAGGGACAAAATTGGGAAAACAAATGAAATAATTCTTCTTGAGAAGAATACTACTCCTTCCTTAAGGAAAGGAATTTTGGACAAATGAAAAGAAGTAGGGGGAGAAGGGGTGCAAGGGGATAATGGAATGGAGCTACTACATTATGAGAATAAACCAAGATTTGGAATCTGAAGGAATAGTGTTGGGATAAAATTGTTAGCCGGGGAACGGAATAGAATTAGGGCAAATATGGTTTACTCCCTCAGGAAAGTAGCAACCCAGATCCAACAATGAGGAAGTAGGATATGAATGGTCTGGGTACTAGATAAGAATGGGCAAGGTTTGAAGGGGTTAATGAGAGGAGTGTGACAGTTGATGAAAGTGTACTAAATGGGGCCCAGCTAAGTAGCCTAGTGGCAAAAGTCCTCGCCTTGCACTTGCCAGGATCACACCTTGCACTCGCCAGGATCATGCTGAGGTGCTGATTCATGTCTCAGTGGCCCCACTTCCTATCTAGCTCCTTGTTTGTGGCCAGGGGAAGCAGTCAAAGACAGCCCAAAGCCTTGGGGCCCTGCACTGCATGCGAGACCAGGAGGTTCCTGATTCCTGGCTTTGGATCGGTTCAGCCTTGGCTGCTGCAGCTACTTGGGATGTGAATCAGTGGATGGAAGACCCTCCTCTCTGAATATATGCCTTTTCAATAAAAGCAAATAAATACTCTTTTTTTAAAAAAAAAGCATACTAAATCATAGCTGGAGCTGTATGGAATTCATCATAGGTTTCAAATGGGTGAAATTTGGATATGAATATGGATAACAAACTAGTATTTTTAGTATAATTTTGCGTTGCATGATTTGTATTATAAATAAAAATCAAGACAAAAGAGTGTATGAAAGTATTTTCACTTCTCTATATATCATTTTTCTAGTTCGCTAAAGAAACATATAGTGAAAATCCACATTTTTTTAAAATTTGAAAGTAATTCTAGCATAGCAGTAACACTTTTGTTGGACTTGTGCAATGTGAGAAACAACTGCTTATGCTGACAGTAGCTTTTTCCCTCAGGGTAATTTTTTTCTAAACAATAGCTCCAATATTTTCCACTACATAATCCAGGAATTTACTATTTTAATCCAGTCCAGTCCTCTCCATTTCCCAAATGAACCTCACCTTTGGACTGCTGAGAACTCTTGATAACTAAGAATAATGTTACAAGTAGCACTAGAGCAGTCACTAATGTACAAATTAGATGATCTTTCCTGAACATGTTCCTAGAGATGCTTTGGAGGGTATTCATCCTTACATAAACAAGGCTATTGTATCTTTTAACATCTCATGAATTGGCAAAGGTAGAGAAAAATCTGAAGAGCTAGACAGCTTTGTAAAGGAAGAACAGACTTTACAACGTTAAAAAAAAAGTATTCTGCAAAAATGACTAATTTTACCAGCAGAAAATGATCTACTCACCCTTGGACCTCTCTTTCCTGATGGGCCAGGCATACCTGCTGGACCAGGTGGACCCTTGGAAAACAGATCACAGTGTATTAGGATTGAGAGTAGACATACTGTTTCTCACAAGCCATAACAAGATTACCACCACAGAATAACTTTTTCTGGACCCAGTTCCCAGCTGCTGATGACTGTAAAGTAACAGAAATGCTCTCACCATAATCAGTAGGGGTGAGTTAAAACTCAAGTGTCCTCTTTAATTTGGTCAGAAACAGCAGCAAGAAACCCAAGACTTATAAACACTGTATCTGTTATTACATGGACTGTAACACCAGTAGTTTTGTGGGTGATTTTTACCTAAATTTTCTTTTACTACAAAAGGAGGAATTCAATTCAGGGTTTGAAGATCAACAACAACATGTTTTTTGCTTTTTATTTGTTTGTTTTTCAGAAAGGCACATTTTCAAGAGGATTTGATTTGAAAATTGAATACTGTGTTCTTCTAAAAGAGTTATACCAAGGAACTGTATAATATGTTAAGCAGAATGAGGCCATTTATGTAAATCCTGTAATTGATCTATTTTATGCCCAAATGTAGCACTTCAGATCACATACAGTTAAATAATGTATTAAAAAGCTATGAAAGCTACACTTATCAATTGCCGCAGTGTTCTGAGCTGTTTAAATATTACTTTTTAAACACAGAAAATAAGAAACTATCTTTTCTTCCTCATATAATGTTTTGCAATGGACTGTGGAAGAGTAAGTAAAAGCTTTATGATTTTTACTTAAAATTTTCAGGTGAAAGTTTAACTGTTTATTTATTTTTTTAACCTGAAAGAATTAGAGAGACAGAGACAGGGAGACACAGGATCTGCTGGATCACTCAACAAATGTGTACAATGATCAAAGCTGAGCTGACCCAAAGCTAGGAGCTTCTTTCATGTCTTCCATACGCATGCAGGTGCCCATGACATTGGGCCAACTCTCCTACTTTCGCAGGCCATCAGCAAGGAGCTGAAATGGAAGTAGAGCAGCTTGGACTCAAAATGGTATCCACATAGTATATTGGTGCTGCCAAGCAGAGGATTAACTTGCTAATCCACCATGCTGGCCCTAGGGGCTAATAGCTTAAAAAATAAATACTGTTCTCTTCATTAACACAGTAACACCATTGAATGTGCTTCACTTTTAAACCATAAAGGGTGATTATTGCTCAATTGCCAATGGGATCTTTTTTTTCCCAATCTACAGACATAGTTTCAAGTAGTTTACTCTGTAGTATGGCCAGGAACATCTAAATGTTACATTGAGTGTCAAGAGAGAAAAGGGGAATTGGACTAGTGAGAAAGTATCACTCCAACTAAACACACAAACACACACGCACACACACGTACACACACACACACACGTGAAATGAGGCAGCTGGATGAAAAATATCAGCATTTTTCTCATCTTAATATAAGCTACTGAAAAGATTGTATTGATCATAGAAACTTTGCAGTTCTCAGATATTATATTTTTCACATTGTCCTTTTTCATACATTACTTGTATTTCCTCCTCCTATTTCTGTAGCATGCAATTTGCCACATGTTTCTATGTTTTGAGAGAGCAGTGCTCCAGTTGCCCTCTGTACCTGCAGCTCCACATTGCAGATTCAGCTGATTACATGAACTGAAAGTACTCAGGGAACACAATGGCTTCCGTACTGAAAAGGGATAGAAGTTTTCTTATTGTTATTTGCCAAACAACATCTACTTAGAAAGCATTTTTATTTATTAGGGAATCTAGAGCTAATTTAAAGTCTAGAAAAGGATTATGTACACTCTTTACAGATCCACTCTTTCAACAAGAGAGTTCAGCCTTGCAGATTTTTGTGTCTGGGAGAATCCTGAAATCAGTCTCCCACAGATATGTATGGATGACTATGTTTTTATTCAACTCCAAACTAAGGCATCCTTCTGCTTATGCTTAAATATTTTTACTGCCATTATTGTATCCCTAACTGCCGCCAGACTTTGATTAAAGATCTAATTAAGATCCAAAACTCTTAATTCAAGACATTGGCAAAAGCCACAACTTTCTAGATAAGAAATCAAAAGCATAAGTGATGAAAGCATAGACAAGTGGGATGACATCAAACTAAGAAATATGCACAGTAAAGAAAACAACAGAATGAAAGGATAAATGACAAAATGAGGGGAAATGTTTGCAAGCCATTTTTATGATAGATAATTTATATCCAGAATGTATTAAGAGCTCAAAAACCTTTAACAGTACAAATATGAATATGGTTCAGAAATGAGCAAAGGATTTGAATAGGCAGTGCTCCAAAGACTACAAACTGGAGATCTTTCTCCCTGTCTCTCCTCCTCTCTGTATATCTAACTTTCCAATAAAAATAAAAATAAAATAAATCTTTTTTAAAAAGACTACAAATTGGTTGAAAATACATGAAAAAATGTTCAGTATCACGAACCATCATAGAAATATAAATTAACATCATGAGATATCATTATCAGCCCTGTGGGAAATCGCCCCTGGATCTCTGCTTGCTACTTGGTAGGCATGACCCACAGTCTACATGCCCATGACCTGAGGCACGGCTTCTAGCCATGTATGTAGATGTGACTTGTGACATGACTGGAGGTTCTAAAGGTATGCATGTGCCTTTTAGCCAATTACAATGTCATTGAGGGTGGGAGCACTGTGGGGGAACACCCTGCTGTCTTCCTCTTTCCTAGTCTATTAAAGTTGTACTTGCTCTACAACGAATGGACATGCCCACCAGTCTGTCCCCTGGTGGTTCTTGTGGCAAAAGAGCAGCATCTCCCCTCGGTGGTCTTGGAGCCAGCTGGCAGGATATCCTCCAGAGACAGTCCAATCAGAATGCCCATTATATTTAAAACAATTACAACAAAAACAGCTGTTATAAAGAAAGACTAAAAAATGTCAGCAAGGACATGAAGAAAAGAGAGCCCTTTACACTGATGGAAATGCAAATTAATAGTTATCATAGAGGACAGGTTGGAATTTCTTTTAAAAAGTAACAAATAGAGGCTGATAATGTTGCATGGCAGGTTCAGTCTCAACTTAGGGGCATCTCTCAATTTAGGAGCATCGTTCTTTGCACCTCTTCTACCTCCTATCCACTCTGGAAGAGCAGCTGAACATGGCCCATGTCATCCTCGCAGGAGACCCAGATGGAATTCCAGACTCCTGGGTTTGTTCTGGCTTAGCCTTGGCTATTGCACTCATTTAGGGAAGGAACCAGAAGATTGAAAAACATTCTCTTGGGCCCGGTGGCATGGCCTAGTGGCTAAAGTCCTTGCCTTGAACACGCCAGGATCCCATATGGGCGCTGGTTCTAATCCCGGCAGCTCCACTTCCCATCCAGCTCCCTGCTTGTGGCCTGGGAAAGCAGTCGAGGATGGCCCAAAGCCTTGGGACCCTGCACCTGCGTGGGAGTCCCAGAAGAAGTTCCTGGATCCTGGCTTTGGATCGGCATAGCATCTGACATTGCGCTCACTTAGGGAGTGAATCATTGGATGTAAGATCTTCCTCTTTGTCTCTCCTCGTCTCTGTATATCTGACTTTCCAATAAATAAATAAATCTTTAAAAAGAAAAACACTCTCTCTCCCGCTCTCTGTCTCTCCTTTTCTACTTGTAATGTTGATTTTCAAATAAATAAGTATATTTTTAAAAATTACAACTGTCTCAAATAAATATCTTTTTTTTAAAAAAAGTAGAAAATAGATCAACATATGAGCTATGTCAGTGCTAAACAGAAATACGAGGAAACTTCTTTACAGTGCTACTCACAACAGTCAAGATACAGAATCAATATTTCCATTGACTAATGATTAGAATAATATTCAACCACAATAAGGAATAAAATCCTGAAATTTGCAGTGAAATGGTTGGAACTGGAGAACCTTACATAAAGTGAAAGAAGCCAAAGGGGAAAAAAACCACACTTATATGAACAGTCAATTGGAACACAAAATAATGATTACTAGAGACCAGGGGAGCTGGAGGGAACAAATTTGGAGATCTGATAATGAGCACTAAAATGCACTTGAGTGACAGGTAGCAGGCTTGAGTTCAGCAACACAGTGAAATGACTATGCAGCATACAGTTCACAACAATATATTATACCTTATATACAGAACTGCACAAGAGGCACTGGTAGACTCAAAATACAAAAAAAAGTAAAGAAATGGAAAGTCAAATAGCCTGGTATGATCAATTTATACTGTGTATACATGTGAAGATATTACACTGTACCCTATAATAACAAAAATATCACAAAACTGAAGGCCTTTTTTTTTCAAAGTTTTTTTTTAAAAGACCTTGGTTTTCATTTGCCAGGACTGTTGAAGAAATTAACAACTTTCAAATTATATCTGGTTCTGTAGTTATAATAAAAAGCTAACAGCTTTTGGAGGTACCCGAAAATAAGAATAGGTAGGAAAAACTAGAACTAAAAATGAAGGTGAATGGATAGTTTTTGTCAAATGTCTACTCTAGCTTACTGCCCTGTTATACTACTCTGTTACAAAAGAAAATGCTATTCCATTCACACCCCATAAATAGTTGATATTATGCTTTGCGACAACCCAAAGAGTTGCTCTGTCCCAAAATTCCTATTTCAAAACACGCACTGAAAAATTATGGCATTAGAAGGAGAGGCCTTAGAGAGGAAATTAAATCATGAAGGCGGAACCCTCATGAATGGGGTTAGTGCCTTTACAAATGAGGTCTAAAGAGTTTACTTGTCTCTTCTACTTGTGAAGATACAAACAACACCTACAAACGAGAAAGCAGGTCCCATCTGGACACCAAGCCTGCTGGCACCTTCACACGGAACGTCTCAGCCTCCTGAACTGTGAGAATAAATTCTGTTTCCTATAAGCTTCTAAGTTGATGACATTTTGTTATACCAAGAACTTATATTTTATGTAATTATTGAAATATGTGTTTAATATTTAGTAATTTAACAAGTACTAAATAAAATTACAACCATCTTCACAATTTTGCATATCCAAATCCTTCATAATAGATTATTTTAAGCATTTTCCAGGAACTAAAGTAGCAATGTAATTCTTATGGCATAAATTTTAGAGGACAATAAATTATTTTCTGCAAATAAGTACTAAAAGTGGCACTTTAACTTTCATATTGCTCTTAAATGGCAGCACAACTTTTAAAAATAGCATTGGCTTTGCAATCACCCAATTTAGGTTCACAGCATGCCTCTAGCATTTACTAGCCAAATGACCATGAACAAGCAAGTCAAGCTTTAAAAATTGTTGTTGCTTATATTTGTTAATGCCTATGCAGTGAGATAAGCAACCACCTGTGAAGCCAGAAATCCATACTGGAGTACCAGATCACATTCCAGGATGCTCTGGCTTAAGACTAGTCCAGCCTCAGCTGCTGAGGATATTTGGAGAGGGAACCAGCAGATGGAAGAGCTTTTCCTGTCTCTGTCTTTTGCCTGTCTCTCTTCCTCTGTCTCTAGTCTCTCTGTGCCAGTCTGTCTCTCTCTGCCTTTAAATAAATAAAAATAAACCTTTAAACAAATTAAAATATCAATTTCAAAATTCTTCCTTTTAAGTTTATTAATGGCATTAAAGCATATATATGTAAAATGTCCATAGTATATACACAGCAAGCACTCAATAAATACTTCTTTTGTATTTTAATTACTGTATATTGCTAGAGTCATACACATGCACACAAAGGAAGATGTAAAAAGACAGTAACCTTGGGTCAGTTAATCTTGGAAGTTCTTCTTTTTAGATTCATTCACTCTTACATACATTCTGTTAATAAGCATTATAAAGCACCAAGCACTGTTGAATTTTATAGTCTAGATAGAGATACATACATGAACAGAAAAACAAGTTATTAAAATTTCATTCAAAAAATAGACAAACAGAAAGGAGGGATGTAGTAGACCTAATTTATACTGTGATATTCAAAAGCAATTCTCTGAACATGTTATTTAGATATAAAAGATTAGTTAGAGTTAAAAAGTGAATTCCAGAAATTGAAATAAATCAATAAGAGCATGAGTAAAATGGTAAAGCCTTGTTGTCAGAACAGGAAATTAACAGAAAAAGAGAAGATGTGACAGCACAAGGTTGCAGAGGGGTTATATAATGTATGCCTACATGGAGAATGAGTCAGAGTTTTTAATTTAGTCTAAATGTTTTGGCACATAATAAAGACTGAGTACATATCTGTGGATTGCTATTGCCTCACTCACTAATATTGAGAGACTACTTTTAGATTTACAGAACAAACCAATATTTATTTTTGAAAGAATAGTTTCCATAACTATTTAATATGTTCTCTCAATGATTCAATTTTATCATCAGTGTTTATAATTAATTTTGATAGTTAAGAGTTTGTTTTTCCCACAATAGTGCAGTCTTCAGATTTTATACCAAACCTCTAATTATTCTAATAAAACTAACTTAATACCTATGAAGTCACTTCAAATAGTAGCCACAAACACAGCTAAGAAAGTGGCATCATTGAGGGGGTCAGAATTGTGGTACAGCTGGCAAATCTAACACCTATGATGCTGAAATTCAATAATGGGTGGCCGGTTTGAGTCCTGGCTGCTCTACGACTGATTCAGCTCCCTGCTAATGTGTCTGGGAAAGCAGCATAAGATGGCCCAAGAGATCGGGACCTTGCACCCATGTGGAAGACCTGAAAGAATCGCCTGGTTCCTGGCCTTGGACCAGCCCAACTCTGACCCTTGCCATAATTTGAGGACTAAATCAGTGAATGACAGACATCATTTTTTTTCTTTCTCCCTCTCTCTCTCTCTCCCTCTCTCTCACTGTCTCTTGCTCTATCTCTCTCTCTGTCACCTGTTATTCCACTGTATGGACCGACAAGTTATTTTCACATAAAGCAAGTAAAACTTTTCTTAACCCATAAATACAAATAGCCATATTTGTAGATAATGAAATATATTACGCTTCACGTAAATGAAAGTCATTTTAGAACGATAATGTCAAGGTTTTGATTTTTCTAAGTCAATGATTCACTATAGCAGAATCTCTACATAAAATTAAGTTTATACTCTACCCTATCGTAATCCATTTGATATAATTTCTTTTTTTTAAAGATTTATTTTATTTTTATTGGAAAGGCTGATATACAGAGAGGAGAGACAGAGAGGAAGATTTTCCGTCCCATGATTCACTCCCCAAGTGACCGCAACGGCCGATGCTATACCACTGATCCAAAGCCAGGAGCCTCTTCCAGGTCTCCCACACGGGTGCAGGGTCCCAAAGCTGTGGGCTGTCCTCCACCGCCCTCACGGGCCACAAGCAGGGAGCTGGAAGGGAAGCAGGGCTGCTGGGATTAGAACCGGCGCCCATATGGGATCCTGGGCGTGCAAGGCGAGGACCCTAACCACTGCACCATCACGCCGGGTCCCATTTGATATAATTTCATTGGAATTATATTTAATTGGTAGATTTAACATGTTTTTAGATTTTATTTTTCTTTTTAAGAGAGAGCTCTTATGCACTGATTCACTTCTCACATGCACACTACAGCCTAAGGATAGGCCATGGAGCAAGCCAGGAACCAAGAACTCAATTCAAGTCTCACATATAGATAGCTGGAACCCAACTACATGAGCTATTACTGTTGCCTCACAGTTGGAAGATAGAATCAACAAACTGTCAGATACCAAATCCAGGTACTCCAGTATGGGGTGTAAGCATCGTAACCGATGTCTTAGCTTCTGGCCAAAAACTCACCTTACATTTTCCTTTAGTCTACCATGATTTGTATATCCCTCTCTCACCATGACTGTAGTCAAACTAAAACTATCAATTTTTTTAAAAAGAGTGATGATCTATATTTAGCAGTTGAATTCCTGGTTATATCTCAGTTGAAAAGGTAAATCATTTGGTTTTTCTATAACTTTACCATGACTAAGTTGCCTTTGCAACCTGACAATTAGGAAAAAAAAATGTGACATTTTGGTAGATGGATTATAGAAACCACAAATTCACTCACTGTGCCAGGATACATCGTTTGTAAGAACTCTGATCTGCTGTGCACAAATGTTTTATAAATTAATATATTAAGACATGTACAAAGACAGAAATGAAAAGCAACTTACGGGAGGTCCAGTGTCCCCTTTTGGCCCTCTCAGATACTCCACGTCAAACATTGTATTAAGATCCTCATAATAATAATAATAATCATAAAGCTTAGCTTCATAACTATTTTCGATGGGATAAGTAGCATCAGGATAAAATTCACCTTCCTTCCTTAAGTCAAGGTGATTATTGACAGCTGGCTCATCTGTCACTTTATAGAAAGTTGTATTTAAAATACGCTGCATTTCCATTAGTTCATTAGTATGTAGATTGGCAGTGACAGCATTCTTGTGATCAGTAATTTCATCTTGCTTTATATGTGGAAGAATAGATGACATTTTCTTAAGCAGTGACAAACCAATTCCTTTATCATTCTGTGCTGTGCTATTGTCAAACACATTTGTAAGAGAAGTCAATTTGTTGTTGGTGTTTGTTGTGTCAGTGAGGTGAGGATGAGTCACTGTCAGGCTTAAATTTGTTTGAATGTGTTTCTCAGGAATCACTGCTTTGGCCTGAATCCCATGGCTGGTGAAATCCACAGCAGAGACGTCTCTTGAATGAAGAGCAGTTAACTGAGATCTTGGTGTCTGTCGTTCTTGTATTTTATGCACGTTCGTAGAGTCATTTATGATACTTAGAATGCTTTTGCCTTCAGTAAGCACATCCTCCGAGAGTCCTTTTGCACCACATCGTTTGTGCATGGGAGAGCATTCCGTGATCTTAGTTGGAATGGTAGTTGTGTGAAGGCTTGACTCAGGTTGCAATCTTTCTTCTGGGTGACACCGCTGTTTCACATACCTGCAGTAGTCTGGGGCTGCCTCAGTAGAAGGAATAACATCCAACTGACACACTATTCCTTCAAAACGGATTGAATGATTGTTCAAACTTCCCAAGGTAAACACACTGTTAGGATCAAAAGTCTGGACTTCAGAAACAATCTCACCGCTAAAATATTTCTTTCCACACTCAACAAACATGGAAACAAGTTGGTCTGTAACAGCAATGGCAAATGAATGCCATCGCCCATCATGAATACTGGAGTTGAACACAACGGACTGCTTTCCTCCAATGTAAACTGCTAACTTTTTAGGTAGTAATTGGACTCCTAAGTGCAGTTTGTTTTTAGTTCTGATGCTGAAGAGAAATGCATTGTTCACTCTATATGACTGTAACCCAACTAATATTGTAAATGACTGTCCTAAGTTGACTGGTAAAATGTTCATGAGAGGTAACTCAATATAAGTGTCATTTTTTAGAATGACAACTGGTTCTGTGAAATGAAACCCCTGAGGTAATGGTGTAGATGATGATGACAGAGCAGTCACTGGCGATGAGTGTGTTACATCTTGGCCTCCAAGGCCTAGTTGATGAAGAATATCTATGCCTGGAAATTAAAAGAGAGAAAGAGAGAGAGAAAGACAAAAAATCTTACTCTTGTGCATTCATGTTTTCATACAAATGTTTGGGTATGAGAAAACCATCCTTCTAGTAACAGTAATTGCTACGTAAACATGCTCCATAAATAGTTTGTTTACAGGTAACGGGGGATAAGGATGGGGACAATAAGATGCTACTCACAAGAGTTTGAATAAAATGTGTGCCAAGTGCAACCACATATACACCTACGTATCAATAGCTCTACACCCAAGATTTAATTAGAGAATTAATTTAGCTCCATAACATTCACATTTGGTTAGGTTTCTTATTTGTTATTCTAATTAATTCACATTTTCTGGGATTATCAGATGTCACTTACTTCTATAATCTAGAACTCAGAAGTTAATTATACCTGCATTAAGGAAAAGGTGGAGTTCAACTTACAAAAACAAATTTGTTATTTGGAAGCTATTTCATTAAGTTCTCATAATCCCTTAAACTATTTTTCTTCAGGCTCTTTTCTACACTTCACACAGAAACTAACCCTGTGCTTGCCAGTGTATCATAAGTGTATGCCACAAGAAAAGTATGCAGGTCACTAAAATCCCTTGTTAATCCCTGGACAAGAGAATTTATATCTGCTTAGTTGGTGATCATTATACTTTCTCTGTATTTTCCAAGTTAATCTTTCTGCTGTTTCCTCACAGTCATCCATAACAATGTTTTATCTGATTCACAAACTCCTTTTCTGTGTTTATCATATCACAGGCATTTTACAAAATACAGATGTCATTAGTTATAATTTTAATTTTTTGCTCACTTTAATATTATGAACGGTATACTACTTACCTCTCTAACCCAAATACAACTTTTTTGCAAGATACATTCTGTGTTATTCACTATTGAATCTCTAAAATATCTGCCATGCAAATGGTTCTGAATTTTCTGTATGGATTTACCTCACCAGAATCTGATGAAACCTCAAGTTATGTTCAATTCAATACCACTGTTACAATACGGTGACTCCTTTCTTTAAGATAAACCATCGCTCACTCTGCTGGATAAGCTTTATCATTCTTTCACTTATAAAGTTCCATCTGCATCTTTCTTTACAAAAAGACATTATACATAAAATATATAATCATCCTTAATTTAAAATATCAAAGTATCTCAGTAAGTGAAGAAAAATTAAGTCTTCAACATTAATCAGAAATGTTTTAAATTGTCTTAATTATTTTTTGCAGAAAATTAGTAGATATTTGATAATTTGGGTTCATTAAAAGTAACAAAATATAAGGAAACACTCTGTCCCACATTTGACAGCTCTGCTCAAAGATAAAGTGATTACTCATTTCATTTCAAAAATGAAATATTTATTTAGTGCTTCAATCTAAAGAGTGTGCCATCAGAAAGCTATACAAAGCTGTAACTGCGATGCTAAATAAGCTACTCAAACAAAAACTCACACTTAGGTGATGCCGCAAGGACTGTTCCTTGTCTTTAAAAAAAAAATGTTGTCTTTAGCAGGACTCTTTGTCATTTATTGCCTCAAATTTCTGACCTTGCTAAAAAGGAAATATTATTAAGAAGTGAATATTATCAAGAAGTGTTTTTGAATGCCCTTTTTTTTCTGCCCTTTGAGTGACCACTAGGACAGGAGACCTCTCTTTCATTCTCTTAAATAAATCTTGTTTTGCACACTGAAAGAAAAAAAAAAAAAAACAGAAATGTCATTTGAAAACTTCTCTGGCAGGACACAGTCCCTGCAGGTAAGCACAAGAAGCACAATAGGAAACAACCCAGAACAGGCAATGGAAATTATCCCACTGGCATACACATGGCATGGGTTGGGGGCAGACCAGGCTAAACCTGTTCACATCACCCACTGGCGAATCCAAGCACCAGAACAGAGTGTGGGTCGAGCCAGGTTCAGTTGCAACACATTAAACAATAAGGAATGCCAAGGTGAGACGAGCTGTGCCAGATGTGGTTGCAGCACCCAAGCAGCACATGTGAAAATCAGGGGGAGAAGGCAAAGCTGGCAGGGGAATGTGGACTCCCTTGCTGGACAACTACTTCCATTGGAAAGCATGAGTTGGGATGGGGGCAGTTCAGACTAGGCAGGGCTATGATACCTGTGGGCCTCATGTGAGCTAGATAGGGGAAGGGCCACAGTGAGCTGACTGTTCCGACTGGTGCAAGCAAAAATTAGAGTGGGTGAGGGTTGGTTGGGCTTAGCCGCAGCATTAGCTGGCAGAGGCTGGCACTGGGAGCTAATTCTGTCAAGTCAAATGCCAGAACCACCTGGAGAGTGCATAATCTGGGAGTGGGTGTGGCCTAGAAGGGATATAGTGGGCACCTCCCTCAGGGTTATCACTCTCACTGGAGAGCAGGAAACCAGGACAGGGGCAGGGGTGGCTAGACAGAAAGGCACCTGCCAGTAGGTGTATGGGCTGGATAATAGGTTGGTTGGGTTGACAAGGACCAGAGCTAAATGGGATGTGGGACAGACTGGACAAGCCTGCAGTACATATTGGCAAGCATGGGAACCAGGGTAGGAGGCAGAACTGGTGGTGGTTATGGGGAGTCGCCCCAACTAGGCTGCAGCTCCAACTGGTTTGTTTGAGGACTAAGTATGAAGTGGGTAGGATCGAGCTGGACTACAACACCCGTTGGTTCATGAGGAAGTCAGGGCTGGAAACAGAACTGACCCACCAATCGCAACGACCAGCATGTGCACAAGCTGATTGGTGAGACGGACGGTGTTGGAGTCTGTACTAGCAAACTCACTCAAGAATCAGGTCTGGGATCATCTCAGATGAAGTTTCTTTGGAGATCCCTCCAAGTGAACTGCTGATCTTACAACCCCAACCATGAAGGGACTATGTCAGCCAGGGGATTCTGAATAGGTTTCGTCGCAATTGGAACTGCGAGATTGGCAGCAATCCACAACTGATGAACTACCAAAACTGTTTGAGCAGGACCCTCAGAGAGCGCCTCCTGTTGTGGATCGGGGATGGGTGGGAGGTTGGGTGGGGCTTTTCCCTTTGTTACTCCCCTAAACCCAGATAGAGGGAAAAATGATAATATTAGCGTGGAAACAATGGTATTACCCACTTTCACCCTGTAGCCCTTAACCCCTTGTACCCTAATCAACTAAGATTATTAAAATAAATTTTTTAAAAAAAGAGAAAAAGAAAACTTTGGAGTCCAAAAAAAAGGAAAAAACTTTGCTATATCCTTTCAATACTTCTTTATATGCAATTAGTATGTTCCCTTGTTATCTTTTTATTGTTTTTATGACATAACTTTTTAAAAATGAATTTTGATCATTTAATATTCAATAAATTTGGCATTAGTGAAATAATTTTGTATTCCTATGATTTACCAGTCATACGGTGTTCTTTTGAATAACTAGCTGGATTCTTGACTGATAAGGTACATAGAATCACTGCATTAATATTTATGAATTAGATCTTCCATCCTCTGATTAATTCCTAGTATCAAAACTGAAGACTGGAGCCTGGAATTCAATTCATAACTCCCACGTGGATGGCAAGAATTGCGCCACTACCAGGTGTGCATTTGCAAGAAGCTGAAATCAGTTTCTGCAAGTGCTGGAACTCAAAGCCAGGCACCCTGATATAGAGTGTTGGCGTATCAAACGCCATCTTAATGGCTGCGTTAAACACCCACCTCTGAGCTTTGCTTATTCTGTACCAAAGTAATCTTACCTTTAAATTCCATTTTCCATAAAATTTTGTAAGAACACTGATATAATGCCCCCAGTCCTTTCTTGACACTTTTATTCTTTCTTCCTTTGAGTAATCCTTTCTTGTTTTCCACATTCATTCTTCCCAAATCATCTAATATTAGTGTATAGGAGTTTTCTTTTAATGCTATAATTTTATTATTAAATATCTTGATGCTATTTTTTCAATTTTTGATTATGCAAATCCAATTTCTACAGACAAAACAATCAACAACATCAAATAAATCCCCATCTTTTTTTTCTCCTTTTTTTTTGGCGGTTACTTTATTCCCACATGTTCAATATGATATTTTTTATACTTCTCTATTCCTGTATTGGCTTCTGATAAATAGAGCCAGCGTTTTGCAGTTCTTTAAGTCCTTTTCCCTTTGTGTATCACCTGTTAGTTCTCTCAATAAGCATTCAGGGAAACAAGGTTTACAGTGTCAATCCTCACAGAATTGTTATATATAAACCATGCCTGCAGTTTCACTGTATATAATATGCTGGTTTGCCATTTTCTTGAATATCTTTATAAATACTGTTACACTATCCTCAACACTTCAGTGTCACAGAAAAGAAATCTGAAGTCCACTAATTTTTTTTCTCAATTGACTCATTTGTACCATTATTTCCAGGAGTTGCTCTGTTTTTGAAATGCAGTGATTCTATCTTATTGATTTCTTATTGATCATTCTGGATACATGTTTCCAGTGCATAGTATACCCATTCATTGGAAAGACTCAAGATTCAAGTCTTTTTTTTTAGCTTCAGCAAAGTTTTCATGATTTATACCTGAACATTTTTTCTAGTTGACAGTTTTGCTGTTCTTCAAGAGCCTATCATTAGTACCTTGAACCATGATCTTCTGTATGTGCCATTTCTCTGTATTTCTTTTAAAGCTATTATTGATTTTCACTACTGTTAGATTATCTTAAATATCTTCACTGTGTCACCTACAATGTCTTATTTCCTTCTGTGCTTCTTCCAATTTCACTCCATTTATGAAGTATTTTTTTTATAACTTCAAAGGACCCTGAGCTCATACATCCTTTTAAAGTCTTGCCTTCTCCTCTTTTTCCCTGAATCCATGTATTCTTCCTTTATCATCTTCTTTCACACATGTGATTGTTTTCCTTGGAAAAATATTTGTCCAAAATATGCATTTGTTTAGTGGCAATTTTTGTTATTGTACATTCTCGTTCTTGCTGTTTTTCCCTACCTTTCCTTTATGTTTTCCTAGTTATGCCACATCAGTACCTTTCAGCTAACCATGGCTTCCTACTCCTTCAATTCACCGTTGAGGAAGACAAATACTCTTGCCTCCCAAATTTCAAGACCCAAAGGCGTGGCTTCAGTACTAGCACACTGTCCTTCTCAAATGCCTCTTTTTCACAGCCCCACCTTCCCCTGAGCCCAACCCAGTTCAGTAGAACATGTGCATTTAGCACTGTGCCCAACTTAGTCATTCTCCTTTCCCTGTAATCCACTTGGCCCCAGTCCACGCTTCAAAATGAATCCTTTACCTCACAAGGTGTTTGTTTTTTGTTTGTTTGCATTTTTGAGAGCTGTTCTCTGTTAGTCACTTAGTTATGATTATTTCTTTCTTGGACTTTCTTGAACAGCTTCCATCCTCCTGAGCCTCTCTAGTACTTCTGGACAAGGCTAAAGGTTAAATAATTCAGAGTGTGCTAACCACCTTTAAACTTCACCTTCAGAAAGTCTGTTTACATTGGTGCTATAAAAAATCTTACACTGGGCCTGGCGCGGTGGCGCAAGTGGTTAAGGTCCTCGCCTTGCATGCCCAGGATCCCATATGGGCGCCGGTTCTAATCCCGGCAGCCCTGCTTCCCATCCAGCTCCCTGCCTGTGGCCTGGGAAAGCAGTCAAGGACGGCCCAAAGCTTTGGGACCCTGCACCCATGTGGGAGACCCGGAAGAGGCTCCTGGCTTTGGATCAGCGGT